AGGCTCCCTGTGATTTATAGTTAGCAGTGATACAAGGCAATTACCAATTTTCCATGCTCTTGGCCTGAAGAAATAAAATAATAAAAGTCAATTTTTTATTATTATGCAAGTGGAAAAATACAATTCTTCATGGTATGATTTGAATAAATACAACTGATTTGAAGTTGGAATTATTATTTGTCTAAGATGACTGGGCATTTACAAATTGAAATAGCTACTCTTCATCAAGAAAATACATGAATATTTTTCCCAATCCACCTGGATTTTATTGTAGGTCTTTGTACGTGAAATAGCTTTATTTAACGTCCGCTTCCACCGAAGTGATATTGCAGAAAATTAACAAATTCGGATTCCCTTTTAAAGGAATTAGACTACACTATCGCTGGATTGTATTATATTCAAAATGGCGCCCAGAACACAAAACAAACATTGCAATTCAGGGCGGACTGGTGTCGAGGTTGTATCCTAAGAATGATTTTTTGAATATTTAATCAAACAGAACACAATTATGCACATGCAGTTATGATATAATATTAAATTAGCTTACCTCAAATACCTCGAAATATACTGTTTGGTCAGTTTGTCCGCCCGCCATATTTCTATTAGTCACACATCCTTCGGCCAATTAAAATGGACGTATATTTTGTTTTAACCGAAACGAAAAATTTGCGTTATAAATACATTGTATTAAAAAATACCAAAATCACAAACCTGATGTTCTTATTTTCTGAACAAAGTTTTTTCACAACAATATCACTTTTTTTCGATACTAATGCTTAATAATACAGTTAACATTTGCAGTACCACAGGGTTTAATACCGCAAAATTACTTCAATAAATATTTCTTTCTTTGTTTTAAGAGTAATTCATTTTAATTGGTCATTTACAGGTAAGAATAAATTTCCAATTTCGATTAATGAACCAATTAAATTAAATAAAAAGATTAACTTGACTATTTCCACGCCCATTCTAACATTTTTTTAAAACGTAGATATAACACAATTGTTATTGTCTTTGATGTGTCAAGTTTATTGGGGCGATATCAATCAGACACTTCCAAATGCAGACATTGTAATAACCTGTCTCTGTATATTGTCTGAGACAAGATGTGAAAATAAACAAAGAGTAGAATCAGAATAATCTTTTATTATATCTAATTAAATAAATAGTTTATATTTAGATAATAATTGACTAAAACTTTGATCTCTTATATCAGTATACTGTTATAAAATACGTTGTTTTAAAAGAGATATTAAATGCATCGCACGATACATACATTGCGATTTCTACTTAATGTTTGTAATAATTAATATAATATCCTTTTAGATAATTAGAAATATTAAAAAATAAATCAAGTGAATTACTCGACATTCAAATTCAGGAAGAGTGGTTTTACATATAGGCTAGGCCAGATCCCTAATCCAGTTCCCCAATCCCATTCAGATTTTCTCAATAAATAAAAAACATAATGTGATAAAGGAACATAATAAATGTTATCTTTAATGTCGACGTAATTAATTATATGGAAAAAAAAAACCACATAAGATTTTATAAATGTACACAAGTTTGTGTTAAGACATTGAAAAGAACACAAACTTGTGTCATTGCAATGCAATACAACACAAACATGTGTTAAATATTTTTAACACAAGTTCTTGTGTTGAGATCCAACACAAGGGACTTTTCAGTGTGTAGTCGTGTCTCGTAGGTCAATTATGGCCGGAAATCATTCTAGTTTTATTATTATTATTTTTTTAACATAATATTATGTTTTAGCTGTATAGAATGATTTGTGACACTTTAATAAATAAAAAAAAATATTATTATTATTAATTTGTATATTATTATTACTTAAAAAAAATTAAATGAAATGAAATGGTGTTTAAGACCCTGCTGTTCTGCTCCGACTGGGCTAATGAAGATGGAGAATACACCATACTGTGTGCTATGAGGAAATGTTGCGTGGGCAGCGGCACTATGGCCTACTCTCTTATATCGAATTCCAACTGCCAGGTGATCTGTTATGTGCACGTCAATGTATACACGGGACCTCGGGTTTTCGTCCCATCCGAACGACTAGGCAGCTGTTCTTGTCAGGCTCTCCTTCCTGCACCACTGACAAGGTGAATCTACAAAACTACGTTCCGGAGTTACTCCCTTTGTTTAAAACCTCCTGAAATCAGTAGAGGCTACAGGTTTTAACAGATTTATATCAAATTGGTGTTCCAGAGCTCCCCACCCCCTTCTTCGAACACGATAGAGGTTGAAAACAAAATGGGATTTATCGCCTATTTTCTGTATACTAGCTAGACTAATGAAGACAGGTGTTTGTCATACAGTGTGCTATGAAGTAAATTTTGCCCAGATAGCAGCGTAATGGCCTACTCTTATTTCGAATTCTAACTGTCAAGGATTCTTTTACATGCACGCCAACGAATCGAATAGACAATGCCATCCGCCCTAAACTACTGAAAAGGGGAAACTACGCCTGAAAATTCTTGGGAACTTTCTCGAACACCACCGGGACTGAACTCCAGACCCTCTGCGGCTCTAGAAATTTAGTGTGAAGCATTAGGGCAATGAGAGGATGAGCTCTATCGATTTACCCTGTTCTCTGTCCATCTCTTGGAAAGTATGGGCTTATCTTGCATAATAACAGCTTGTTATATTTGAAATTATTTGATTCTTCCAGTTAAAGTAGCTAAGTCCGTAACCCAATATCATCCAAAATCTTCGACATTGAAAACACGATTTTTTTTGTAATTTAAATCAGCATTGGTGTGGTGATCTTACCTGGAAAATATGGGCTTCTGATATCCAATATTTCAGACAAAATAAACATTTTACCATTGGTACACGAATCGTGTACCATAATACGTTTCAGTGCAATTTGTAACAAGGTGCTCAAATAATGACGCTAGACATATATTCCACATGTCATATCAAACGGTAATGCCATATTCTTATTTGTAGAGCATGCACAATAAATACTATCGATGTTGACTGGAATAACCAGACGCTAGAAACTGACTTTGGGTTGAGACTTCTGGCGTATATCGCCGAACATAACTGATGACAATTCACAGTAAAACAGAAACGATTGTAAAACAGTTTATATAACTTCCTATTATATTATTATATGTGTTGCGACCCATTTGTGCCAATTTCTAGCTCCAAAATATTACCAATTTAGCTCCTTTAAATAATAGAAAAATACGATTTTATTTGTGACCTGCAATAGTCTTTTTTTTACACCCTGTTATTAATGGAGGGTAGTGACAGGGAACATTTCATCTTATATTCAGGGTCCTACAAAAGAAAGAATGTACAGAGTTTGAAGAGGTATTATCATATTCATAAAGAACAGTGAGGAGTTTTTTTTTCGTATTAATATATTCAACATAATCCTAACATACAGTAGGAGGTGAACTACTGATTAAATAAATATTGTTAGAAGAAAAATAACAGCGTTGTATCATATATCCAAATTTACAATGTCAATATGACCAATATTTACTACTACTATGCCTCTTGAAAATACAACTGGATTAGAATTAATATGATGTAACTAGATCCATCATTTATCTTTATGTACTATTCCATGTCACAATGCAAATAAGTCCTATATGAATATCATTATAATTAAAGTGTTTTTCACCAGTCACTTTATGCTCTCTGATGCCCAGATACATATATTATGGCTTCACCTAGGTTTCACCCATCATCTATGTTTTCATTAATTCCTCTTTAACCCTTTATCCGCTGTTGTTACTATACTATTTGCTATCATAATTAAATCTGTGTATAATTACTTTGATAACCAATTAAGCTAGCGTTTCATGATTGTTAACTTTGGTTTCTCTTATTATTGTTCAATGTACCTATATATAACACTGTCACAATTTTTTCCTCATTTGTAATTTGTATGCTTGATAACGACCAGTGAATTCTTGTCGAAACGTCGTGTGTATATAATATAGTGATTGTTATCCATAGAACTGTGTTGTGTTATAATATGATAATGATTTGAATATTAAATCTGGGCTTAGAAACAGGCACCCCTTCAAATGCCTCTTGAAAATTCAACAGGATTAGAATTAATATGATAATGTTTTAAATATTAAACCTCGGCTTAAAACAGACACCCCTTCAAACGATTTTTAAAAATGTTTACCCTGAAATTTCAGTGTGTGCATACATACATTTGAAATTGGCAAAATGCTGTGACCATTTATTAAGGTCTGAATTTTTATAGAGAATTTCCTTAGAATCTTAACTGAATTTCCCTGCCTATTTAATGAAGTTAATAAAAACATAGACTAGATGCATAGCTTTTCTTGGGTTCGACGAAACATTTACTGACAACTAATCGTATTGATACAATATAACTTACACATATTTAAGCATTCATTTCCGATGTATCTTGGTAGTTGTGCAGAAGACGTTTTGTTCTTATTTTATTTCGAAGCTCACGGGACTTATTTCTTCATTTTTATTATTTAACCGGAAGTACGTTGTGGTACATCTTTTTCGCGCATGCGATGTATAACATAAAAAAACAGTCGGGGTTTCCCTTTCTAGTACAGTTCTATGATTCCACTAGTAATATCTCGGTATGTGTCTCGCTATTGACACGTATATGCTTCCATATGTATGCGATTCTTTGAATAAATCGTCAATTTTAGTTAATCGACCAAATCGAATCTATAATATTGCACAAATGCAATAATGGGCTAGGCAATTTCTTGAACTCCACCCTTCTCCCTCCAAAAAATCTTTCAGGCCTGTGTCATAAATTACCAAATTCATACACCAAGGACATCATTCAATAAATCAAATTGACTGTTCTACAGCTTAAGTGGCTATCTAATCACAGGGTATTCTAATCACACAGTAATTTCGTGTAAACATAAACAAAATACAAAAGTATTACTCTATCAGTTTATTTCGGGTAAAGTTGATATCATAAGGAATGTTATTATACGAAATTTACCACTTACTTTATCAGATTATTTCTGGTTAAGTTGTTATCATAACGGATGAAGTTATTCGGTGGTGTTCCCGTTCTATGGCTGAGTAAATCTTCCACTGTTGTATATTCGGTTCTGAGATCATCTGCAAATTTAAAGTTCGGTCCAAGGATTTCCTTAACTGTAGTTTGTAAGGTGTACCTAGAGAACAGAAAATGAAAAGCAAACATAAACATGTGATATTTCTGATGACCAGACTTATTTTTAATTGAATTGCCCTCAAACATAAATTGGTTTGCACATTACATCGACTAATTGCATTTTGAGCATATGATGTCGTAAATTTCAAGGCTAATGTACTCCAGTACTCGTATTGTGGCGCCAGCTTCACCATTCATTAATATTTGCATGTTTAATGTCAGATAAATCTATTTACGACTACCCGAATTACTAATTATAGATTAACTTTTTAAGCGTGATAACAAACTATGAAAAGTATTTCGATGTATATAAACACGTAATCCTGTTCGAGGGAAAGAACATTTTGTTAAAACATATATGTTCTCGAATTCAGGGATGATAAAGTAAAACTTTTCTTGTAAAGTATAATATTTTTGTCAATCAATTTTTTCAATCAATTTCTGTCAAACAATTTCTTGACACTATACGTCTTATTTATGTGAAAGATAAGTTGCCGGGCAACGAAACATACGCCCACTGAAGCTAAATCATCCGTCGGCCAACGACGGTTAAAACAAGGGCCATACTTAAGATGTAATTAACGAAAATTGATTGCTGAAATTCAACAAGTTTCTTTGTTTTGCACTTTATTGAATGATGCATTTAAATTTCATGCAGATGTGATGATAACTTTTGTCTTTAGAGCATTCACAGGGATCAATAAAGTGAAAAAAGGGTCATAACTCTAGACGTAATTAATGGAAATTGCTGAAATTCAATAGGATTCCTTGTTTCACCGTTTTAAATGATGCATATCAATTTCATACAGATCGGATAACTTTTTTTGTTAGAGCGTTCACAGGGAGCAACAAAGTGAAACAAGGATCATAACTCCAGAAGACGTTAACGAAAACTATTGAAATTAAACACAGCATATATAAATTTCAAAATGATCAGATAATGACTGTTCACAAGAATGGTGGACGAAGGTTGGACCGACGGACGGTGGCAAAATTCGACCCCAATTTCACGCAGGCGTATAAAAATGCAAATGCTTACAGGTTATGTTCTATATGTTTGTAATTAGATTTCACTTTATCACATCATGCCGGTGTTCCTAGTTAGTTTCGGTTGTATTTATATTATCAAACTAGTAACCAGAAACATCTGTGTTACTTGTTAACAACGAACTATCATTTATTTATCTTACTGCTAGACTTTTTTTACTGGAGGATTTACATTTCACTACACCAGTTTATTTATACGAAAAGAAACCACGTCAGACAATCGAACATCTGTTGGCACCATTCTTTCATGACGAATTAATTGTGGTGCCATTTGGCAAAGAATAACCTCTCTCTATGCGGAGTCAACTAGTTAATCAGTTATAATTTTGTTAACTAACAAAAGAGAGAGAAAGAGAGAGAGAGAGAGAGAGAGAGAGAAATGGGGTTTAACGTACACTCGTCCCAGACTAGGTCATTTCGGGACTAACATATGGTTTAATTTTATTTCAATAATCCGCTTGCGCGTAGGGGTCTGTAGCAATGGGAGGAGGACCCGGAGAAAACCAACGAGGCTGAACAGGCAACCCTACTCCTTGTCACGCACAACCGGGGATTCCAAACCACGCCAGTTGACTCGGTGACAGGCCTTATGATACAGCGCGCACGTGCTAACCATTCTGCCATCCACCGCCCCCCCCCCACCTTATATAAAGCCATTCGCGTATGTTCATATAGGAGTCCCTTCATCGAATTTCAGATGGGGAAGTTTGGGCTCGCGTATAACTGCAGCACAAAAGTCAACGTCAAATAAGTCATCCAAACATTTAGATAACACAAATATAGATAATGTACGTATATATATATTACTTGTGATATAAATACCATACTGAATTAATGGCTTGTCTTTTATTTACTTTCTTCTTTTCGAACATCAAAACAAAGGCTGCACGGAACCATACAAAATGTATTCCTTGAATGAACGAAATGGGGCTTAACGCCCTACTTTTCTGGATCAACCGCGCTAACGAAGACGGGTATACATCATTCAGTGTGCTATGAGGGAATGACAGCCCACGCTTCCTTTAATGCATTTATCGACTATGAACCGAGAATTAAGCGATTGAAATTTCGGCATAGCCTCGATCATCATTTCTAAAGTCTGTACGATAAAAAAAACATAGTCTCGATCATTCATTTCATGATTAATTTATGAACGGAATTCGAGCAGCAAATGGGATCATCGAGAGTTGATTATGGTCTGCATAAGTTAATTAATGTCTAAATAATTAGATAAGATTTCAGGCCTAGAGAAAGACCTGCATTTGGCAGATTTAGCTCTTGCATAATGTTAATCGTCATAGTTACAGTATCTTGCCAGGTTTGATCAAAGCACATATGATACACCAACACAATAAATGTATTGAAAATGGACATTTGTTATATTATCTTATAAATAAATGACAAGGTACAAAAATATATAAATATGTTTGTAATGAAATTTCGAATGCAATAAACATACTAATTGTCTATAGTATGAAACGCTTTATTATAAACCTTTCCAAATTATTAAAATATTTATTTTAACGTATAATGACTTACACACCAAAATTTATTGTCATGCATGCCAAAGTTTGGGTGGAGGTGTTCAGTTTTTTCACCACAAGAGTTCAAAAAGATATTGTTATATTTTCGAGGGTATATTTTTTTTAATATGCATATTGTTTTGCGGATGGAGATATTTTTTTTTAATAACAAGATTTTCAAAAGATCAGATACTTGGTAAATTAATTGTTTATTCATTATTTCGAAAATTCTTGAACTTCGAACTGCTATGTTTTTAAAGAACAGCCTCATGTAATAGTTTTCAATGCAATAAGATATGTTGCCAGGCAACAAAACATACGCCCACAGCATATTTATTCTTTTGTAGGTAATTAGGGGAATTTAATAGACAATTTCATACTGATGACATTATAATTTTCGTTGTTTGGGGATTCACATGGTTATAAAAACTAAAACAAGGCCGTAACTCTGGAAATAATCTACAGAAATTGTTGAAATTCGACAGGCTTTTTCGTTTTATTAATTCAAATAATGCATATAAATTTCATACAGATCGGATGATAACTTTTGTCGCTCGAACGTTCACAAGGTCAACAAAGTAAAACAAGGTCCATAACTCTAGAAGTAATTGACGGAAATTGCTGACATTCAATAGGCTTCTTTATTTCACTGATTTAAATGATGCATATGAATTTCATACAGATTAGGTGATAACTTTTGTCGTTCAAGCATTCACAAGATTCAACAAAGTGAAACAAGGGCCATAACTCTAGATGTAATTAACGGAAATTTGATGAAACTCAATAGGCTTGTTCGTTTTACTAATTTAAACGATAAATATAAATTTCATACAGATCGGAAAATAACGTTAGAGCATTCACAAGGTACAACAAAGTGAAACAAGGGCCATAACTCACGGAATTAACGGAAATTGCTAAAATTCTATAAGATTCTTCTTTGCACTAATTTAAATGATGCATATTAATTTCAAACAGATCGGATGATAACTGTTGTCATTAGAGCGTTCACAAGATTTAACAAAGTGAAACAAGGGTCATAACTCTAGATGAAAAGTAATGGAAATTGCTGAAATTCAATAGGCTTCTTTGTTGTACTAATTTAAATGATGCATATAAATTTCATACAGATCGGATAATAACTTTTGTCGTTAGAGCATTTACACGGTACAACAAAGTGAAACAAGGGTCATAACTCACGGCGTAATTAATGGAAATTGCTGAAATTCAATAGACTTCTTCGTTTCACTAATTTAAATGATGCATATCAATTTCAAACAGATCGGATGATAACTGTTGTCATTAGAGCTTCACAAGATTCAACGAAGAGAAACAAGGGCCATAACTCTAGATGTAATTAACGGAAATTGCTGAAATTCAATAGGCTTCTTTGTTTTACTAATTTAAATGGTGCATATAAATTTCATACAGATCGGTTGATAACTGTTGTCATTAGAGCGTCACAAGGTGCAGCAAAGTGAAACAAGGGCCATACCTCCAGAAGAAATTAACAGAAATTATTGAAATTAAATAGGCTTCTTCATCTTACTAATACAAACAACATATATCAATTTCAAAACAATCAGATGATAAATATAGTCTGTAGAGTGTTCACAAGAAATTGTGGACGATGGACGGACGTCCAGACCGACGGACGGACGGACGGGGGCGACGGCAATATATGACACATTTCCACGTGGCGTATAAAAAAGAATATGGCTCGGCATATAAAATGTGGCAGTGGGAAAATGATGATAATTACTGAAAAGTTATCGATGTAGCCGTCACTTTATAGCGTGTTGCCATGTGATAATTAATAGTGCATTACTATTTCACAATCATGTGGTATGTCATCAATGTAAATTTATCGTGCTCCTGTAGAACATGTCATATTAATGTACTTTTGTTCATCAGTCATCAACATGCTATTCTCAGATTCTTTTTACTGGAATTAACAATAAAACAAAGTCGAGCAAGATCCATTGTACATGAAACTAAATGGAGTTCGGTTTAACGCTAGTTTTATCGAATTCTAAACGCAAAGCTTTCTTTACGTGCATGCCAAGATGTACACGAGATCGCCTTTCGTCCCATCCTAAAAACTTTGCATTTTACGTACAGGTCAACACATTATTATCACATTATTATGACTTGGGCCAAATTATACTTTGAATCAAGTTGATATGACCAGCCAATATACTATTAAATTAGAATTTTGGGAGATCTAGTAAATTTCGGTATTATTTTTCACTGTCGACATTTGGAATCAGAAATGTATTATAGCCTGTGGACATAATATTTCAAATGAAGTAAACCATTACAAAGCAGTTTTTATATCATGTGATTTATTAAACCAAATCAAATAGGCCACATTGTGTAGGCAACGACAGATGTTTTGTACAACAGACTGCATATCTCTGTCTGTTATCGCTATGTTTATTTTAGATTGTCATAATATGAAGTTTTCGCTTTTTTTTTAAAAACAAATTATTACAACTATAAAAATGTACATTTGGGCGTTATATAATATACATTTGTCAAAATACAACTGTAATTAAACCATAAGTATGTTTTATAGTTTATTGTTCTATCCAGTTGCTAAATGCCTCTCAAAGATTAATAACAACTGTAATTGTTTCCATTTGCTAACACTAAGGTAGTATAAAGATATGTTGCCAAGCCATGACACATACGAAATGAAATGATATGAAATGGGGTTTAACGTCCTACTGTTCTGCTCCAAACTAGGCTAATGAAGACGGGCATACGCCATACAATGTGCTATGAGGTAATTTTTGACCGGACAGCGGCACTACGGCCTACTCTTATATCGAATTCCAACTGCCAAGGGATCTTTTACGTGCACGCCAATGTGTACACGGGACCTCAGTTTTTCGTCACATCCGAACGACTAGACAGCTGTCCTTGTCAGGCCCTTCGTCCTGCGTAAATGACAAGGGGAAAACACGCCGGAAAATCGGGATGAACTTTCTCGGCCAATGCAGGGATGACGAAACATACCACACAGCGGCTAACATACGGACAGTGAACACTGCTTGAGGCATATTTATTCTTTTGCACGTAATGGGAGCATTTTCAAAACCCTGATATCAATTTCATTTAGATCGAATGATAACCTTTGTCCTTAGAGTTATTAACGGAAATCTTTGAAATTCAATAGGATGCTTCGGTTTACTAATTAAAATAATGCATGTAAATTTAATACAGACCTGGTGTTAACTTTGGTCGTTATATTGTTCACAAGGTTCTACAAAGTGAAAGAAGGAACATACCTCTAGAAGTAATTAACAGAAATTGTTGAAATTAAATAGGATTCTTCGTCTCACTAATGTAAACAACGTATATAAATTTCAAAATGATCAGATAATTAATGTAGTTTGTAGACGGATTCGATAGGTTTTACTCACTGTGATTTTTGTAGTAATTTTACTACAAGAGTTGCTGCAAAGGCCTTGGATAGCGATGCTATAAGAAATAATGTTTCATTTGTTACTTTGTCTTTACTGTCAAAATCTCTTACTCCATATCCCTTTGTAAATATAGTCTGTCCATCTTTGACAATGGCAACAGATAATCCAGGATTATCGTGACACTTAAAGGTTTCCTCTATATCCTTGTCAAGTTGTTGTAGATCATAGCTGAAAACAAGAACGAGGACGGTAAAGAAACAAGGCACTATTTGTCTGTTCATCGTTATTCAGTTTAGCACACTGTGCCAGTGTGTAAAGAGCCGTGCAATTACCCTGTTGAAGTTAAAGTTCACCGCACGAGGTTGAAACCAGATATAGTAACAGGGTCAAACATCCTCTCATCCCCTTACTGATTGACGTGTCATTTAATGATCAGGGTCAATGGGAAGCACAGCGGGGAAGTGGTGTCAGTGACTGAAACAAAGCCTTGATTATTCTAGGCGGAGGACTGGGAAGTTCTAACTAGCTTAGTTTTCAAAAGTCGTTGCAACTCACCGCTGTGGAAAGTTTTAATATTTATTTCCCGAGAAATAAGCCTAATGTGTTGTAAACAAAACTGCCACACTCCAATTTATGTGCCAGAAACGTTTTAAACAAATAATCTAAACGACAGCATTTTTTGTCCTCGCAATAATAAAAGTAGTGAGACGGCGAGCTTTCAGCCAATGAAAATCTAGTAAATAGCGAATAACAGTAAATAAACGTGACCTTAAGGAGAATTTAATCGATCACCGTCGTTGTTTTGCTATAATACAATTAGCTCGATTTTTTTTAGCCAAACTCGTTGTAAATCATATTTCTAATGAAAAGAAAGTGCGCGCTATTAATACTGGTATTTACCGGTGTCGGCTAACATGTAATAAATGCATAAATGTGAAAGATTTAGGTCAGCAATGACTCATTGGGTAGAGTGTCCAACTGAAAGCTGCTTACCACTTGGCGATTATGTGCAGTGTTTTCGGACCCTTCACCCCATCAGACGGACAGTTTTCCCAGAAGCCAGACAAGCTTTACCCCTCTTACCCCCGTGAAGCCGCTGTCGGTAATACCTGACGGGCTGTTTCTAGCCTGTGTAAATGTGATGAATCAATTTATTATTCTTAAGAAAGTACACGACACTGTGGAATTAATTTTTGCATGCATCGTGTTTAACGTCCCACCACAGTTCCGAGTATTAAGATAATTTGAGAAGGGTTGGAAATGTTGTTTGATAGCAATGATATAGGCCTATATATAATTGAATATAAATATAGATAATTGCCAAATATCAAAATCAATAAAGGTGTATGAAGCTATATTTTATTAGAGGCTCTCTTCCTACTGTATTTGTCTTTGGTGTGTAGACATACATACTTTGCATTGTCGAGTTCACCCTAATATTAACTGGTTAGAAGAGATCCCCTAAGCCCACCCTTCCTCATCTCTAATAAAGTTGACACTGTAGCATCCATATAATACAACTATGCATAAATCAAATGCAAGGCCCAGCCCCCCCCCCCCCCCTCACACACTGCTTAATCCCCCACCCTCCATATAAGGTTGGAAATACCTTTTAATATCAATATACCCACAAAACGGAAATTCCTAAAGCCCGACCACATCCATACCAAAGGCACCCCTAATAAGGTTTGGCAATGTAATAACAATTAACTGATGTTTTGTGGACAGTTATTTGTGTTTGCTAAATTATGACTCTTTGAAATTAATGCATAGGTATAATACAGGTTGTGTTCTAATAACTGGCTAAAATGTCCATTGTTTGTCCATTCCCCTATTTTAAAAAATATATATAGACTACATGGTCTTGCTGAAAGGAGCGGTCTATGGGAGTTTTAAAAATAAATTATTTTTTAAAACTTTATTTATTAAAGATAATTGGATTATAGAGCAGGCAACCCCACTCTCCAAAAAAAAAAATACAAACAGATATAAACATTACAATCACAACATAATGAAATTACAATAATAAATCAAATACATAAATATACACATATATATATTACATACACTCACACACACATGTACACACTACACATACACTAATTCATTGATAATTAACATCAAACAACTGAGAAAAAATGTACCATAATAGACTAAAATAAATATGTATGCTGCACATGTCTGATATATAAAGAATTAGTTAAGATTTTTAATACATGGAGTTCAAAAATTAAACATTAAATATTACTGTAATGACTTTAATTGACAAAAGTTCTGATTTTAATGAAAATGAATATGGAAAAAACAGTATGTACAAGCTCTGTTGATAAGATATGAATTTATAGGCGTGAATCAGCATACAATAGGTATGTAAAAACATATATACAAAGTCATTTTAAAATTTAAATAAACATGCTGATTTTTATTTTATAATTATACTAAATCATTCATGGACTAAAGTGTACAAAATATGCATAATGAATTTGTTATGGTTAATATATGTTATAGCGAGTTCAATGATAGGTTCAATATTAACAAAGATTACTTGAATTGTAAAACTGTTCAAAATTTAAACTCGACTAATGATACAGATTTAAAACATTAGATTTACTATAAAATAAAACAAAATTATAATCTTATGGAATAACTTGATTTTAAAAATATCAGAAATCAAGAGAAAAAAAAATCACTAAACTTCAGCCGATCATAAGGGACAGACACAAAAAAAATCTCTGATGTAAGAGTTATAAACTATGTGAGAATGTAGCATTCAACTGAGGATAAAATCCATGCTCCCATATATTGCTTTAATTTTAGTAATGACAGGTTAAAGGTGTACAAAGAATTGGGGATAGAAAATCATTTTAAAGAAAAGGAAAAAATAATAATACTTTTATAACAGATATTTGTTGATGTAATAATGAAAATTGTGTGTCAGTTTTCGGTCATCGATCATTAATTGTATCATCAATTTTTCGAAAATAGAAATTTCTTTAAATTGTCTAATGGATAAAACATTTAAAATCAGCGTAGCTTAAAACCAGTGTAAAATCAGTGTAATTTAAAAAAATGTGTCTAGTGTGACATGTGTTTCAGGCCTATGTTTCATAAGTGACATGTGATACGAGATAGAGCTCTCCGAAACTTTCTGGTTTCTTTTGCAATTTGTTTTGGGTAAGACGTTATCACTCCCCGGTCCCCGCCCATGTGTTAATAACAATATTAATCTAATATATGAACCGCACAAATTTAACAGATACAAATAATGTACATGTTATTCCACGGGTAGACAGACATTGAAGGGGCCCAGTGAATGAGACACGGTTGGTTTAAAGTCTGTCCGACTCCTTTGGGTATTTGCGCCCCATTTCCAATGAAATAACCATGTTGTTCTGATGCTCAACTAGCATCAAATATATATCGTGTCTGAGGTTTTTTACAAACCGTCCCGAGCATGTTCCACACATCTCAACATTTATCAGCTTTTTGTTCAGTCTATAAAAGCCTACATTCCCACAAAATGTTTTGTTCAGTCAAGTGAAACAAGAAAATTCATGGGCTAAATGGAACAATAGAACAAGTACACCTTAATGTCGACAAATACGTAAAACTATGAAATAAGATACTATTATGATATGATTCAACCGAAAGGTCCTATATATGCAACATAGATATATAATATCTACATTCAAGTTAAACGAACTGCATCTATTCATGTTAAGTCTTGCGCCGAGCTGAATAAAGTATATGATTTATTGTCATTAAAACATCTATGGGTGATTAACAGAGCACATGCATAACGAAAAACTATAATTGGATCTTTATTGCCAACATTAGAATGTACCGAGAATTTTCATCACGAAGTCTATTGCATCTAGATGTTTAAAGTGCGTTAACATTATATTCATTTTGGGATTAATATACCACATATTTCAAGCCATACCCCAACGGAAAGAAATGACGATTAATTAAAATTCCGCCATTTTGGATTTCATTTTGACGGGCATTTTGAATTTCTACCATCAGGAATTCTAGAAATTAAATTTTTGAGATTATCGCTGCCCTTTTATTACCAAATTAATGTTGTTGTTTTTTTTTTTTTCATTTTTTTTAAATGGTATTATATTACCAAATTTGGCATTCATTTTGAAAGAAATGCCCGCCGCCAAATGACAGATTTTCGACACATTTCGCTTGCATAACCACTCTGTGTTTGAGGAATTTAAAAAGAATTATTTATCCTTCCACCATTGAAAGACATCCAGTACAAGTTATCGCTCTCCGATAATTCCTGAAGAACGCCAAATTTAATTTTGTTAATCGTGTTATTTTGCCTTGGCCGATTTTGAGTATGATTTTGTCTGACATATTTGTCATTGAACCAAACTGCATTGGTTTCTTTTGCAATTTGTTTAGGACCCGTAAAACGTTATACCAAGAAAAAAATAAAACGTTTTGTTAAGTAAAGTTATATCAAAGCCGTATAGATAAAGTTGCGACAACAGTACTGTGAAGCCGGGAATTACATAATGACGCCATGCAAATATGACGTCAAGTGTACAAAGACGCCATCTTGAGTCCCAAGTAACTCTACCAACTCACTATCTATTTACATGCCCTATTATATTGTTGGAGGTCCCGACAAACAGGGTTGTCACGTTGATAGATATGTCATAGATTTCAGCGAATAAGTGTCTATAGGAGATAAAACATACATTTTTTTAAACGAAAAGTATAGCTGAACTATTATTAGTATTATATACTATTCAAAAAAAGTAGGGGATATTTGATTTTTAAGTGTTATTAAAGTCACCTAATGAAACTGACGAAAAAACAAATTACAAAATGAAATGAAGTTCACATTCATCGATTTATTCCAAATGATCGTTAGACTAAGTAAGGCACAGACTGACCATTATAAGGGTAAAATGATACCCGGGGTCAAACAGCAAAGTTACCACAGCATCACAACCAAGTCAGTAACGGGTAAATCCTCCTCTGTTTGCCAAACAAGCATTGATCCGACGTGGCATACTCCTAATGAGACGTCTAAGGTCATTTTGGTCCAGATTGTCCCATTCCTGTTGCAACGCAGCAGCAAGTTCTTGGACATTGGCAGGACGTTGTTGACGTTGACGTAACCTCTGTCCAAGCATGTCCCAGACATGCTCGATGGGGGAGAGGTCGGGACTCAGTGCTGGCCAAGGTAATGTGGTGATGTTCTGTTGTTGGAGGTAACCTGTAACGATCCTGGCCCTGTGACATCTTGCGTTGTCATCCTGGAAGATGAAACGGCGGCCATGACGTCGTGCGAACGGCACAACATGGACTGCCAAGATGTTGTCCCGGTAGTACTGGCCTGTAACACGCCCTGTAACAACATGTAAAGCCGTTCTTCCAGCAACAGTGATGCTTCCCCACACCATAACAGAACCACCCCCAAATCGATC